TGGCACCAGAGCTCTCTCTGACAGAGAAGGCTCAATGTCTCACAAAACGACAGTTCCCGAAATCCCTTAGCATTGAGCCAGGGCAGTTAAAGCGGTTTCATACCGGATTATTTCTGCAGTGTCTTTGGGACCTAAGGCTGCCTCCGCACTGCAGAAACCGTCAGGCTTGGCCCCACTTTAACTGCCACGGCTCGAAGGCTAGAGGGGATTCTGGGAACCGTAGTTCCATAGTATTGAGCCACGGCAGTTAAAAAGTGGGGTCAAACCGGATGATCTCTGCAGTGCGGACGGAGGCAGCTTAATTCACCCTTCCCTGCAAGTAAGCACAATTATATAATAAATAATAATAATAATAATAATAATAATAATAATAATAATAATAATAATAATAATAAACCTGCCTACCAGGGTTGAGTACCTCCGTACCCCCCAAAATAACCAATTCTGGCTCTCTACCAGAGGAAGGAACTGGCAAAACCACTTCTGAGTATTCCTTGCCCATAAGAAAACCCCTATGAAATGAATGGGGTCGCTATAAGGAGGCTTGAAGACACGTGTACATGCATACACACGTTCCATACACCCAATCTACCAGCAAGGGAGCCCCAGAGCCCTCCTCCTAGCAAAGGGGTTGGGTCCCCCTCCATCATCATCATCATCATTATTATTATTATTATTAATTTCCCTTTTGCTTGCTTTCTCCTCCTGGGTCCCTCCAGAAGAAGCGCATCCCGCCTTGAAGGCAAACGCAGAGGCCATGGTCAATATTTGCCAGGATGTCGCTCAGACTCTGCTTGGACCAGCGCCGAAGGAGAAAGAGAAGGACTGGGGTCCTAAACACACGTACACTCACTCACTCACACGTACACACACACACACGTGTCCAAACTCCCTGGACCCTGATCCTTGGGAAAGACCTTTGGATGCAACCATCCCCTTCGGCTTCTCTCTTTGGTCCCAAACACACTGCTGCAGAAATAATCCCATTTGAGACCGCTTGAACCGCCTTGGCTCAGTGCTAGGGAATCCTGGGAATTGTACTTGATTGTGGCAGCAGAGCTCTCTCTGACAGAGAAGGCTAAATGCCTCTCAAAACTGCTCTGCATCTGAGGAAGTAGGTTGAAGTCTAGGGAAAGCTCATGCTGCCAACTTTTCATTTCGTCTCAAAGGTGATACAAGATCTCTCTGCATCTCTCATTCTACAGACTAACGCGGCTATATCTCTTGGAATTCTATCACAAAACTACAGTTCCCAGAATTCCCTAGCACTGAGCCAGGGCGGTTAAAGCGGTCTCAAACTGGATTATTCCTGCAAGGTGTGTTGGACCTGGATCGCTTCTTGAAGAAGAGGGACTTTTCCGACGTCGGCTGCAGAAATAATCCAGTGTGACACCGCTTTAAGCGCCGTGGCTCAATGCTATGGAATCCTGGGATTTGTAGTTTTGTGAGACGTTTAGCCTTCTCTGTCAGAGGGAGCTCTGGTGCCACAATAAAGTTCAATTTCCCAGATTTGCACAGCATTGAGCCACGGCACTTAAAGCGGTGCCAAACTGGATTATTTCTGCAGTGCGGATGCAGCGTTCTTCCGCCTTTTGGGATGGGGGCTTCTTCCCCTTTTGCTGTACCCGGTAGGGTAAAACACCCCGGGTTTCCCACGTTACGAGCTCATTCCGGGGCCACCAAGGTGAGATCCGAAGCCTGTCTTTAAGCAATTCGGAGTATTCCCCGCCGGAGGTGGACTGGGGCTGCATCTACACTGCAGAAACAATCCGTTTTGACATCACTTTAACTGTGCTATGGAATTCTGAGAACTGCCATTCCCAGAATCCCACAGCGTTGAGCCGTGGCAGTTCAAGTGGGCTCAAACCGGGTTATTTCTCCAGTGTGAATGCAGCCTAGATAGAGACCAGGATTCGAATCCTGGCTCGGCCATGGAAACCCACTGGGTGCATTTGGGCGAGACACACTCTCTCAGCCTCACAGGAGGGCCACGGCAAGAATCTTGGCAAGAAAACCTTGTATGTGTGCCACAAGTCGGAAACGGCTTGGAAAGGCCCACAACAACAACAACAACAACAACAACAAACAACAACAACAAACAACATTCCTCGCTTCGGTCGACGGGGATTGTTGGCCCGGAGTATCCTTAACCCGATCTGCCATTGCTCCTCTCTTCCTAAAATCCCAAATTATGCAAATCGAAAGCTTCTCTTCCCAGACTTGGGACAAGTCTTCTGAACGACAAAATGTGCGTCAGCTGGAGCTAGATCTTCCCAAGCTCCTTGTGGACTTGGAAGCACGTCGGGACCTTCGGACACGTGTCTACGAGGGCGGAGGAAGAGCCAGTGTGGAGGAGGTGCAGGAAAGTGGGGGGCACCGGGCTTGAGCCCCCAGAGCCTTCCTTGGGGTGAACATCACTGACTCAGCCTGCTTCCAGATGGGCTCCTCTCCCCCTTTATCAATCCAGAGAGAAGAAGGCCTATTGAGAACCATTCCCCCAAAATGCTAGCGAAGTCCATTCAAGGATCAAGGATCGATCGCTTTCATGCTGGAAGGCTTGCAAACAGATTGCCTCCTATGGCGATGCCTTCCTTCCGCAGCATCCAGGATCCCAGGATTTTAATTAGAGAGGTTTCTTTGGGTGAGGAGCACTCTGGAGGCCAGCGTTATGATTCGATTATATATCATCACATTTGATTATATTATATTATATTATATTATATTATATTATATTATATTATATTATATTATATTATATTATATTATATTATATTATAATCATAATCAAATCATAACCCTGGCCTCCAGAGTCATCACCCAAAGAAACCCTCTCTTAATGGATTGTAATGGGAAACATATATATATATATATATATATATATATATATATATATATATATATATATATAATATACCGGAAGGAAAGCGGGATACACACACACACACCTATATATATATGTATATATACACACGTATACATGCACACACACACAGATACATACATATATACATATACATATAAATACACACACACATATATACACACATACATATATACATATAAATACACACACACACATATATATATACACAAACACAGATACATACATATATACATATACATATAAATGCACACACACATATATACACACACATACATATATACATATAAATACACACACACACATATATGTATATACACACAGATACATACGTATATACATATAAATACACACACACATATATATATATGTATATATACACACGCATACATACACACACACAGATACATACATATATACATATACATATAAATACATACACACACACACATA